TGTCGTGATTCTAACAAATTTTTTACCAATAGCTTGAAAATTTGGTGAAATTTTTTATGGGTGTAGATTCTTTATCTCTATTGGTACTAGATTTTTTGGAGAGTCGTGAATAATATCATACTATTATAGAGAGTTGTAATGTAATTTAGTGAAATTTTTGGTGGAGTAGGTTCTTTAAGGAGTGTCCTCACCCAGATGACAAGCAAAGGAAGGAGCTGAGTAGGGAGCTGGGTTTAGAGCCATTGCAAGTCAAATTTTGGTTCCAAAACAAGCGAACTCAGATGAAGGTAATTTCAAAAATGGTTTCTTTTTCATTGAATTATAAAAAATTTATGCTTATATTTACTCTCTTCAGACTCATCACGAGCGACATGAAAACACTCACCTCCGAACACAAAACGAAAAGCTTAGAGCCGATAATATGAGATATCGAGAAGCGCTCAATAACGCGACGTGCCCCAATTGTGGAGGTCCGACCGCCATCGGAGAAATGTCGTTTGATGAACATCATCTCAGGCTCGAAAATGCCCGCTTAAGAGAAGAGGTATCAAAATCTTTAGGGTTCTAGTGAATTTCGGATTGGATTATGAATTCTATTAAAATTTTAAATAATTTTTAAACAATTTTTTTTTTTTTTATAAAAAATAAATAAAAGCGTGTAACTCAATTTTTGCATGGTAGATCGATCGCATTTCAGCCATAGCAGCAAAGTACGTAGGAAAGCCAGTTTCAAGCTTCCCTCTTCTTTCCCCATCAATTCCCACACATCCTCTAGAGCTCGGAATGGGCAGCTATGGAGCCGACATGTACGGGGCGGCGGACCTTATGAGGACGATAACCATGCCATCGGAGGCCGACAAGCCGATGATCATCGAGCTGGCGGTTGCAGCCATGGAGGAACTAATCCGAATGGCTCAAATGGGCGAGCCCTTGTGGATGACAGCCCTTGATGGCTCAACCACACTGCTTAACCCAGATGAATATGTCCGAACCTTCCCTAGAGGAATCGGACCGAAACCCGCTGGGTTTAGCACCGAAGCGTCTCGAGCCACCGCCGTCGTCATCATGAACCATATCAGCCTCGTGGAGATGCTCATGGACGTGGTAACCCTAATAATCCTTCTTAATAACTGAAAATTGAACGGAATTTGGTCTCTCCGGTAACATTCCGGTGTTGTTTGTTCCTCAGAATCAGTGGTCGGCCGTATTCACTGGGATTGTCTCGAGGGCTACGACATTGGAGATTCTGTCCACCGGCGTTGCCGGTAACTACGACGGAGCATTACAAGTGGTATGTCCCACAATTCCCAACAAAAATATATTTTTACAATTTTTTTCCAATTTGTTAATAAAATATTTTATCTGTATGTTTCTCATTCTTGACAACGGTTCATTCAGATGGCATCAGAATTGCAAGTGCCATCGCCGCTTGTTCCGACTCGGGAGAGCTATTTTGTGAGGTACTGTAAGCAACATGGCGAGGGAACATGGGCTGTGGTGGACGTGTCGTTGGATAATTTGCGCCCTGCTCCTGCGCTTCGATGTAGAAGAAGGCCTTCCGGCTGTTTGATCCAAGAAATGCCTCATGGCTATTCTAAGGTAATTTTAAAACATGAATTTAAAGGTTTGATGTTATTTAGGTGAGGTGGTTTGAGGATAAATGGAAGTTTTTTTTTTAGTTTAAAACATGGGTTTATAAGAATTTTGATCCCTAGTCTCTTTGTTAAGATTATGGGTTTATGTCGGCTGAATTATGTTTGAATTAATATAGGTTACGTGGGTTGAGCATGTTGAGGTGGATGATCGAGGGATCCATAGTTTGTACAATCAACTTGTTAGATCTGGTCATGCGTTCGGGGCAAAGCGTTGGATCGCCATATTGGATCGTCAATGTGAACGTCTTGCTAGTGCCATGACAACGAGTATTCCGAACGGTGATGCGGGTGGTAATTTGATTTTCTATTTCTCTCCACTCAGTTATATAAAATTTTCTTAAATCAAAGTTTTTTTTAATAACCATTTGAAATTCAACTTTATAAATATTTTTTTCCAAATTTTTTTATTTTGTTATCTATTTTTTTTATATATATGTTTTAGAAAATCAAAGCTAAATTTAATGAATTAAAAGTATTTTCAGTATAAAAATGATGAAAAAATAAAATGTTTAGGCCTAAAATTATCTTGTAAAAATTGATATCAGTGATAATGAATCAAGAAGGAAGAAAGAGCATGATGAAGCTAGCAGAGAGAATGGTGATGAGCTTTTGCGGCGGAGTGAGCGCATCGACTGCGTACACGTGGACAACACTGTCGGGAACTGGAGCCGATGATGTCAGAGTTATGACACGTAAGAGCATAGACGATCCCGGCAGACCACCTGGCATTGTCCTCAGCGCCGCCACTTCCTTTTGGTTGCCTGTTCCTCCTAAGAGAGTCTTCGACTTTCTCAGAGATGAAAATTCTCGTAACGAGGTATGTACATGTTTACGATCAATTAGGGTTTGTTATGTTTCTAAATCGGCAAGTTTTATGATGACTATCGATAGTTGACCTAGTCGGTCGAAACCCTAATTTTATATAAGTTCACTCGTGTGTTTATTGAAATGAATTGAGATTGTGCTCATATTACGATATGCTCGTATATACTACAGTGGGATATTCTATCGAACGGTGGAGTTGTGCAAGAAATGGCCCACATCGCCAATGGCCGTGACACGGGTAACTCGGTCTCATTGCTACGAGTAAATGTAAGTTCTCCTTATAAATTAACATCTTATTCGAATCATATATTTTACTTAAAAAATTTTGTTGTAAAATTTAGAGTCCAAATTCAAGTCAAAGCAACATGTTGATATTACAAGAGAACATCACCGATCAAACTGCCGCATTTGTGATCTACGCTCCGGTGGACATTGTGGCCATCAACGTGGTGCTAAACGGTGGCGATCCCGATTACGTCGCCCTTCTCCCCTCTGGATTTGCCATTCTTCCCGATGGAACCGCCGCGTCCAACGACGGGGCTAACAACATCATGGAACATGGCTCGGGCGGGTCGCTCTTAACCGTTGCATTCCAGATCTTGGTCGACTCGATTCCGACAGCTAAACTATCACTTGGGTCGGTAGCAACGGTTAACAACCTCATTGCTTGTACTGTGGAGAGGATTAGAGCCTCTCTGTCGTGTGAGAATCCATGAATTTGCAGAGAAGAAATTGAGTGGAAGAAGTCAAGAACGCACCTCTTAATGAAGAAATAAGGGTCCTTTCATGGTGGGGTTCGGGTATTGACTTTGTCCATTAGAGTGTTTCTTCATTACCCAAGTTTGCTTCTTTTCATAAGAATTTACCTTTCTTAAATGAAGTAATTATGTATTCTCTTGCATATGTGTATGTATTTTGACTTTCATTCTTAATTCGAATGGATGTTTCATATAAAATGAGGTTAATTATAATCGTTCAAAATCAAGATCGTGTCTGTTCTAATTGATAGAACTAAACTAGGGTTCTCGAGAGAAAATTTTACAATCACGAGTTAGAGAATTTTGTATTGAAATCGGTGATTCTTAATATCTAGTGGACCATATGATTCGATAATCCGATCAACACAACCTACTCAAGGTTGAGTTGGGTTGGAAAATCAAAATTTTGGGTTTGGCTTGCAGGTTGATATTTCTTTGATTTGGTTAACTCGACCATCAAAACCAACCCAAAATAGGGTTACAACTCAACACAAACCTCACGTGAGGCTAATAAGCTAATAGTTTGAATTTCTGATTACCAGACAATCATACCTAATACCTTAGCAGAAAGACGGACATTCTTTGCTCATTACGAGACAGTCACTTATTCACAAACCTCGTGTGGGGCTAGTAGTTTGAATTTCCCATCTCATGGAAAACCCTTTTCGCTCCGCTAAGTCCTATCCCCCTGTACTAGTATTTTAGTGATAGGTTCTATAGGAATTGGACGATCCATTTGGTCAAGTACCTAGCGACAAACTCTTATCTTCCTTTCATTACAGAAGTTTTGAACAGATTCTCGGATGTAAATATTTAATTTTTTAATTTTATAAGATTTTAGATATTAATGTATCATCAATAAGTATAATTTTGTTTAGATAATTAAAAAATAACCCGAAAATAGATTAGTTGGATTTGAACTCTATTTGAGTTATTTGGCTCACCCACTCAACCAAACAACATCCCAACTAGAGTTTTTGCTCACGACACGTCGTTTATTCCTCCTGGGCCGTCGTAGCCCAGGCCCACGGTTTGTTGAAACGGCCCAATAAGAACCAAAGGTTCAAACTGGGCCGAAACTGGAAAGCCCAAAAAATATTTTGTCGGCAGAATTAGCGGGGAAGGAGTCAAAGGTTCGTTTGGTAGGATTCCTTGAGAATCATGGTATGGAATTATATTCTACAAAAATTATTAATTATATTATCTCCTCTAATTCTACACAAAAGTCAACCCCTTCCCCCCTATCATTTTTGTCTCTCCCACATTTCTTTATTATTATTTTTAATTTCTAGTTTAATTTTCCAAAATAAAAATTCAATCTCAAAAACTTATAATTATACCAGAAATTATTATTATCATTATCATTTAATTTCAATAATACATATATATACACTCCTTTGTTACTGTTTAGACAAAATCTTTCTAGACTTTCCCTTTCAGATTTTCCCTCGAGGCTTTAAAACGTGCTAGGAAAAGGTTTCCACACCTTATAAAGAGTGTTTTGTTCTCCTCCCAATCAACAGATATCACAATCCACCCTTTTCAAGGCCGAGTGTCCTCGCCGGCACCTGTTACTTTCTTTAATCAATGTGGGACCCGCCAAATTCACCCCTTTGCAACAAACATCCTTACTAGCACGAGAACAACATATATATATATATATATATATATATTTTTTTTTTTTCTTTTCTCAAGTAACTAAAATAGTATTTTTTAATACAATAATTATAATAAAAATAAACTTTATATTTCAAATGATGGAGTTCTCATTTCTTAAACCCTCTCACAAGCTCTCATCTCACGCTCTCAACATTCATTGAATGGACAAGAAGAACGCCGGTGTTGATCCGCCGCCGGAGAAATCCTCCTCCGCCGCCACAGGAGCTGAAGAAGCGGAGGAGAGTGGGTGGACGGAGTATCTGGAGGATTATTTGTGGTCGGAAATTGAGAGAAAAAGCAGTTTTTTGTGTTGTTCAAGTAGCGGGAGCTGTAGTTGGGATATTTCAGAAGCCAATAAGGAAAAAATCAATGCTTTAACCCCATTTTGTAGCGTTGGGGAGGTGATTTTGGATGCCCCAAACAAGCTAAGCCTCAAAAAAACAACAACTCAGACGATTTTTGACGATGATTCCTTAGAAGATACGGCCACTTCTCCTGTTCTAACTCCAAAAGTACCCTTTAATTCTCTCTTTTTCATCTCATTTTTGCTTTATTTTTCATTTTTTCATTCAATTTTTCTGTTTTAGGTTGCTGATTTTAACGTATGAACAACCCATCTAAATCCTAGGATTGATGAACATGTCGGGATCAGTAACTCCACGGTAATTATAATTATGGGTCAAATAATTTACCTGGTTAGACCCTTTAGATGTAAAAAAAGTAAGATTAAAATTATGGGTTTTGTTCCTTTTTTGTGTTTTTTTTAACCCAATTGAGGATTTTTGTAGGGCAGCAATGGCCATTGGGGAATTATGATTCAAAACCCAGAAAAAGCTGCAGAGAAGCAAAGGAAAAAAGGGCTGTGTTTGAGTCCAATTTAGATGTAATTTTGAGCTCCCGAACTCAACTCAAACTCGCTATTATAATCTATAATTCTCTCGTTTCGTTCGTTAGTTTGAATTATTCGAGTAGTCAAGCTTTTTCTTTCACCCAATATCCAATACGAGATTCCTACTCACGAGCTAGTGTTTAGTCTTGTTCGTTATTTGATTCCTTTAACTGAAATCTAAATTCAAAATTTTCGAGTAAATTGAGCGTGTGATTTCAACTCATAAAGACACGGTTATTTTAGTCAAATTTTTCAAAACATATCATGTGGTGAATAAATGTAAAATCTAATTCGATTTTGGTATAATAATTACAATGAACAAACAAACGCAATCAATTATATTTTAAATACAAACATGTTTTTAAATCTCTTAATTATATAATATTAATGAATGCTAATTTTTGTTTTCTTGTTATAACATCAAATCCAAAAGAAAAAAAGAAAAAAGAAATTAAAAATATTTTGTATAATTTGTTGTTATAAATCATTGGCCTTCAAACTACAAGACATTATTCAAACATTGTTGAAAAGGTAAAATGTTTGGTCTCAAAAATAGTATGTTTGGACCAAAAAAAATGGTTTTCACATGGAAGTTTAAAGCTTTTTGATGGATAAATGGATATTATTTTTCTTTCATTTATTCCATTTTAGAGAGAGTAATGAGAATCTAGCTTAAGTTTTGGACCACCCTCAAAATATTTATTATTCGAACGCTAAATTAATTATTTAATATAATTAAATGTTACACACATCGGTTGAAGAAGAGAACGAAATATTCCTTAAAAGAGTGTGAAATCTCTTCTCAGTAGACGCGTTTTAAAACAGTGAAGCTAACGCTGATACGTACGGGCTAAAACGAACAATATCTGCTAGTGGCGGACTTGGGTTGTTGCAAATAGTAACAACGCCAAACATCGGGTGGTGTGCCAACGACGACGGTGGGCTCCCAAGGGGGTGGATTGTAAAATCTCACATCATTTAGAGGAGGGAATGAAACATTTTTTATAAGGATGTGAAAACCTCTCCTTAATAGACGCGTTTTAAAACCATAAGACTGACACCGACACTAACGAGCCAAAGTGTACACATATTGTTGGAATGATGATCGAACCCGACTTATCATCTAGGATGGTAATTGAAGTTTTATCCAATAAAATTTCAAGATATCATGTGAAATTTGAATCTTTGACTTTTAACCAATTGACTTGTCCGGAGTTGATGCAATAAAAAACGACAAATACTTTAGAAAATATTTATAAATAAAGAAAAAAAATTTAAAAGAAAATATAGAATATAAGAGGATGAGTTAAATTATAAATATATAAAAGGAAAGGGGGCAGTGATTTAAATAAACAAATCAGAAACGACTGCAAAGTGAGACCCCTCCATGTGCAATGGCAGTTGAGCTTAGGACATTCAGCTTAATGATCAAAATTTGTACACGAATCTCTTCTCCTTGGCTCGCTATCTATATCGACGGGTAGGAACCACGAATCTCCACAATATTATGATATTGTTCGTTCGCTATCTATACCAACGGTTAGAAACCACGAATCTCCACAGGTATGTTATTATCCACCTTAAATATAAGTTCTCGTAATTTTGCTTTTAGTTTATTTAAAATGCCTCGTATTAATTATAACCAACTATCTTTCTCTTAATTAGCCACGTGAGACTACTCTTCTCAGTAGTCATCAACATCGACATTGTCGACGATTTGAAACATGTTCGGGTTGGCATAAACATGCCGATTAACGAAAAATTATTTGCAAATGGAAAAGAAAATCAAAGAGAAAAAAAATTAATAATATATTATGGTTTTAAACATGAAATCGCATCAATTAATTTGATGAGATTAATGAATTGGTTGGAAAATAAAATAAAAAAAGTAAGAAAAGGGTAGCTATATGGTCAGGTTTGGTTAGTTGGGCAGCATCAATCGGTTTAATTAGAGAGATGATTAATTAATTTGTACATAGTTTAGGGATTGCCTTAAATTTTAATTAACTACCAAACTCAAATTAGGTGATCAATCACATTATATTAACCACAACAACCACTCCAATATTTTGTTTACTCTCAATAATATTATAATATATGAATGAACCAAAGACTATATTTGAATGAGAGTGTAGCTTTAATTTTGGTGGCTCGATCATTGAAACTTCAAAGTTAAACGTGCTAGCTTGGAGCAATTCTATGTTGTGCAACTTTTTAGACAAAATTTTAAAGAACACGTGACTTAGGACAAAATATGTTAAAATGATCTGTGTTGGTTTGTGGAGATTGGTTTCGCTCTTAGAAGTAGTTCAAACCAAGTAAATAATGTGATCATGTCACAAGGATACATGGAATGTCGAGGTTTTCGATTTCAATAAGATATACCTACCAAAAGCATTGCATGCTCTTAGAATACCATTTGTACAAGTCTCGCTCGTACTACTAGCTTGAACAAAACCATTTCGAATCTTAACTCGAGCAAATTGATGTGATGCACGATTGAACATTGAGTGAACTTGAAACTTTAGAGTGCGGTTTTATAGTTATTAAATGTCTACAACAGTGTTCTTCGTAAGCTATTATATCTATTTTCTCTTGCAGTGTATTAGACATAAAATTCAATTTCATATCTAATACGTAAATAATAGACAACTCATTGATTACTTGAACGACAACTCATTGATTACTTGAACGAGTGAGATTGTGAAAGAGTGTGTACCGAGATGCAAACAAATTGTTATAAAGAAACATATAGAGATTTGGTGAGGAGAAATATTCTAATTCTAAAAACACTAAAAAGTTTAAGATTTCTGTATTATAATTTTGAAGCATAAAATCTGACAGCCTGGTTCTGCAAATCCTATGCTTAATAAATGAGGATTTTGACGGCTGCAATAACAAAATATTGTACAACTTTATCATTATTTATTCATCATCATTATTATATACATAACAAGCAAAAGGATGCAAGTAATTTAGGAAGGAATGGAACCTTCATTAACATTATTTTAGTTAAATTATAAGTCATAAGTTAGGTTCGAAGAAATTCATGAATCTAAAAACAAAAATGTTAAGTAGGTCAGTGACATGACAAAATTGAAAGCTTGCAACCCTTCAACTCATACCACTTGTCACAAGTGCAACACTAGTTCTTAACACAGAGTGAGTTAACCCAATTTAAATTCACATCGCTTCCAGCCGAGCAATGTTTTAAGAAGATTAGAGAACAGGGATAGAGAGATCTTCGAAAGCGGGTTGGAAAGTAAGAATGAAAGTAGATTTGAAAGCAACGTTAAATAACTATAAGCAAAATGTAACACAACGACTTCTTCAAGTATTATCAGCCCACGAAGTAAATGTTATAATTTAACCTTTACATTTTATTAATTGACACCATATACAAGAAGTCGAAATCCAAAAGGTTCAAATCTTCATACCGTGCATTTGTACAAACAGATAAATCCACGATATCCTAACTCGAGTAATGAATGCAGCAGAGCAGCCTCATGAATGAATAAAAGTAAGGTCCATGTGATCAAGAAGAGAAAACAGGAAAAGTGGTATTAACTAAAAGAGCCCAATGATAATGATAATGATAATGATAATGATAATGATAACAATGATCCATGACTTGGTCTGACAAACCAAAGCATCCAGAGTTGTAACATGCACGCAACTTCTAAACGTAGTTCTATCATATATATATTATGTCCACTACTGTCAGTTAAGCTGCTGTAAACAGTAATAGAATTCTCAACCTTGAAGCTGTTTAGAAACCGTGAATCTTTATATTTTCCTTCTTCACAATCCCAGCCTATCATCACAATGCGGAAACAAAAGAGAATCAATATATAATACTCAATCATTCACTCTCATCTCAACTATGTAATACTCTCAACCATTCATTACCTGCACAAGGAAGGTAGACACATTCTTTCTTTGGTCTCCCTGAAGTTGTATAACCTGCAGAAAGTGAAAATCCTTGTGTCAGTAGTTCGAATCCACTTCCAAGCAAAGGGTCTAGAGAACACATAGCCGGGAGTTGGTTTGGAAATTCAAATGAAAGAGGAAGCAAAACGATGTAGATTTGACAAAAGAAAGCTACTCCATTACAAGTGATGTCATTGATTGTGGGGTGGGATGATACTTTTATTTTCCCCGCAAAAAGAAAAGTATGTGCATCTAAGCATTCCTACCATCGTGTTCTATAAAAAGCAAGAAACCAACTTTTCAATGAAAAGAGACAAAATCCTATTACTGCACAATATGTAGCAGTGCTAATAACACCTTCAGAATTCTTGTTCATGATGATATATATTATAACCAAACCAGAACCATAACAAATGGACTCCTGAGCGAATAGGCATAGCAAACAACCAATATTGGTTTTCCCTCGGTTTTCCCCTCGTGTATGCTATGCCTATTCGTTCATGGTCATGTTATGCCTTCTCCGAGCGAATAGGCATAGCAAAGAGCGATTGTGACACTTCCCATACACAAGGGGAAAACCGAGGGAAGACAAGTGAGGTAGAGTAAACAAGTTTGTATTGTCTATTTGGAGAAGCCTAATGGACGCCCTTCAGTTATGTTAATTTGGGGATCCCTGGATTCGTGCTCCCCCATATGTTCTAGGTTCTAACACTAACCCGAACATGACCCTTCTCTCCACATTATCCAAAATCAAAAACTATTAGTCTCTTTTAGTTTTAATGTTAGGTGCATAAATACAAATCATTTAAGGAGGGAAATGGAGACCGGACCTGGCCTAGCTCAGGATCTTGCACAACTGTGCCATTACAGCAAAATTCCTTCTTCAGGTCCTTAAGTATTTTGTTATAACTAAATTCCTTCTTCAATCCTTGAACAGTTGTCAGACTTTTTCTCCCGTTACGTTGCTGTATGCGCACATGAACATACTCTTTTGCCCCGGCTCCTGAGTCCTCAGCATTTGCATCAGCAAATGGGTCTGACCATCAAATACAATTAATGAATTATCAAACCAACCGATTCAACTTACTAAAAAGTAAAAACCAAGAACAGGGAGTTGTGAAGTTACCAAAAGCAGATGGAATCTGCACGTTGAATTCAGACATGAAACTTGGCTGTCCGTAGTAGAACACAGGTAACCAGCAAAAAAATTATGCGCTCTCGATTAAGCCGCTCAAAACTGCAAAAGACAAAAGAAACAGAAATGAAACCGCAGACACAGAAGCACCAATATGATCCACCCATGATCCCCATATCTCCAAGTCCTGTTTTCAATCTTTGATCCTTCCATCCCCACAGCCCATACAGACTAATTTGTCAAAGATCAAAAGCGCATACACTCAACAATTCAAAACCTCAATCATAAAAGTAACAGAAACCAAAACTTAGCAGATTAAAACATAGGTTATGAACAATAAAAGCAAAGTTGATGGACTTTCACTACACTACTTATGTATTTTTTTCAAATCCACGGTAACAAATTGAAGAAACTTAAGCTCTATAAGGGATCAAACAATCAAAAGAACCCGATAACCAATCATGACTTCGCAACCTAAATAAGAAGGTAATAATTCTACCAATATCTCGCTAAGAATACAGAAGAACACCCAAACACACACAATCATAAGCAACCTATCAGACAGAAGAAGCAAATTGAGGATCAAAATAATGTGCATAAATTAAATATAAAAAGACAATGAAGCCACTCAATAACAACCAAACCAGGTATAAGGTTTGATTAAGAAACATCAAAACACTTACATCTCAGAAAAATCCCAGAAAACTACGGATATTGTGATTCGATCCCAAAACAAAAAACCCTAACCCAAACAAAGAAATTGGAAAAGACTGAACGAAAACAACAAACAGAAAATGAATTTTTCATAGATGAAATGAAGGAGAGAGCGATGAACAAGAATTTACCAGGAGAAAAAGGTGTGAATCCGGAGCGAAGAGACGTGAAACTGAATGGCTAGAAGTCAAAATGAAGATTATATATAAGAGAGGAATTTGGAAAGCCACACAAACCTTCTACTACATCGATTATTTGGCGGTTTTGGATTTTTTAACTATTTATTTTTTGACGGTGGAGATGAGAGAGATCGAAGTTGATCTGACGGCTCATGGTTGTCATTGAAACGACGTCACTTTAAAGCTTTTTTATTTTCTATTATCATCATAATTATTGCGCGGAAAGGGCAATTATTATCTACTGTCACTCACACTTTATCGCTTAGTTTAGCGGGTCCCACCTAATCCTAATTGACCAAAAAGGTCAATGCCATAATGCTTTATAAATTCCATTATCGTTTATTCTTTGAAAAAATTCCATTATCTTATCATTCAATTAAAGTTGAGGAATCACATAAAATCTTTAAAAAATATGAAAAGAATCTGACCAAAATTATTTGGTTGGCACCAAAAAATAACAGAATTAAATGATAAAATTGTTTAAAATAAGAACAATGTGACATTAATCTTTAAATAAAACAATTATACATGAATTTGAGAATTTATAATCATCTGATTGTATAACTATAATAAATAGTCTAATTTAATTAACTAGATAATTACGAATCTAGACACATTATAAATTTAATTTTTTAAACATATTTTATTTTGACATCAAAATTTATATATATTACTTTATACATTATTAAATATAACTTATTTATAAGTTGCTAATTATCATCGTAAATATTAACAATTTGATGTTGATGTATAGAAAATCGGGAGTCAAAAAATGTTGATATTTAAGTTCTTATTTAATGGGATATTAACAAATAAGAGCTACAACAATCATGTACAAAAACACACTTAACTTCATTCATTTCTTCTTTTGGTTGACAAACATATTTACAAACAAACATAATGGGCAATGAATTACCCGATTCAACTCCTAAATTCTAAGTCCCTCAAGAACAGGAGATTCATCCAACTTGAGCAAAAATGATATGTTGAGATTCCTCCCCATAACTTCATCTACGCGGAAATGAAAAACAAAAGACTTTTTTCCGAAATATAAACCAATGCCCTAATTTCAAAAGAAAAATGGCTAGAAAGTTCTGAATCCGCCCTCAACTGGCGCAGAGTTGAAGAAAGCCAAAACGCCCCAAAGCCAAATTGTAGAGGCCATATTCCTTTTAGATATCCAAAGAAAGTAGATGCTCCCTCTACATTCAATTCATTTAGAGGCAAAAGAATAACTTATCGCAGAATCTCCATTTACAACCTTCCTTTTCTCATACACAGGAAAGATGCAGTTTTTCATGGATAAGCGATGCTCAGCGGATAATATATCTAGTGCTGGTTAACATCCAGCCAATCGCATTCAAGAAAATGAAAGGTCGAACTTCGCGTGACAAGAAAGCAGACAACATGTCATTAATTTAAAGGGACCAATGATCCATAACTTCGTCTGCATAACAAAGCAAAGCTACGTACATGGATCAAGAGTTGTAATGTAACAGGCACTCACTTCCAAGTTCTAAAGAAGATAGGTATATAATGTCCACTACTACCAGTTAAGCTGCTGTAAACAGAAAAAGAACTCAGAAACCGTGAATCTTGATGTTCTCCTTCTTCACAATGCCAGCCTACCGATAAGGAAAAAAGGGTGAACGTGTCAAAAATTGTTTTACCAAAAAATATTATCATGGTCACAGGGTATATACAGTCCTTCATTACCTGCACAAGGAAGGTAGACACATTCTTTCTTTGGTCTCCCTGAAGTTGTATAACCTGCAAGGCAACCATTACTGGCAACGTTATTGATTGTGGCATTGAAGCATAGAAAAGAGCGAGAGGAGGAAGGGGGCAAACGGGCAAAACATATGTATGGAACCATTCCTTCCATCTATACGGTTAAATTGCAAATTATCCAATAAACCCGTCTAGGTTATTGTGAATAATAACCTGATCGACATAAATGCACATAATTGACCCGCAGTTTTACATAGAAACTGCGGAGTTGCACATCAGCACCCCACGTTTGGATAAAGTGAAAACGTATTATGTCTCTTCAAATGATATGGGCATCAACGAAAAAACAGAGGGATTAATACACTAGTCATTTAGGGTGGTAGAATTGACCTGGCCTAGCTCAGGATCTTGCACAACTGTGCCATTACAGCAAAATTCCTTCTTCAGATCCTTGAGTATCTTGTTATAACTAAACTCCTTCTTCAATCCTTGGACAGTTGTCAGGCTTTTTCTCCCGTTGCGTTGCTGAATGCGCACATGAACATACTCTTTTGACCCAGCTCCTGAGTCCTCAGCATTTGCATCAGCAAATGGGTCTAACCACGAAATAAAATTAATTAGTTTTGAAATGAAAACAAATCTATAGACTTCTAATGCAACACAACCTTACGAAATAGTAAAAAACTAGATTAGTTGTTTGAGAAAGTTACCAAAAGCAGATGGAATCTGCACGTTGAATTCAGACATGAAACTTGGCTGTCCGAAGTAGAACACAGGTAACCAACAAGCAAATAAGAAATATTATCTGAATTAAGCTGTGCTCAAATCTGCAAGACATAACAGATCCCGAGTTGAAACCACAAGATACAGAAGCATCAATTTGGTCAAAAATAAAACATAATAATCCACCCCTCATCCTCATAAAGCTACAAGTCCAACATTTAATCTACGTTCCTTACGATCCCCTCACACACTTTTCAATTCAATATCAAAAGAGCATACGCTCCAAAATTCAAACCCTCTAGAAAATAACAATGAACAAAATTTCGTAGATCAAACTGAAAATTACGAACCAAGAACACATTAATTAAAGGTTCTTTCAATAACGCTACATTTTGTTTAATGTTCTATATGGGATCAAACAAACAAGGAAGATAGTATCTATCGGCTTTTTCACTCCACGAACCAAATAGCCAACCCTGTCCTGTCCTCGGAATCTAAATCATACATCTTTTCTTTCTTCAAATTCGGTATCAAAAATCATACCAACAATAACACCCCCAACACAGACACACAATTATAAGCAGCGGATCAGCGAGAGAAAGAGGAGTAAACCGAGGATTCAAATATTGTGGATCAGTTAAATGAAAAGCAGAAACATGCCAGATGAAAAAGAATAACAATCAAACGAAAAAAAGAAACGATTACATCCCAAAAAACTAACAGATCTTGCCCTACGATCTCAATACACGCAGAAAAAGAAACCCTAACCTAGATAAAGAAATCGTAATCGGCTCAAGAAGAAATCAATAAAACAAGAAACAGAGAAAAAAACAATTGTGCATCGATTAACATGAAAGAAACAGAGAAGAACAAGAAATTACCGGGAGAAAAAGCTGTGAATCCGGAGACAAAGAGACCTGAAACAAGAGATCTCCAAGAAAAATGAAGTTTATATGTGAGAGAAATTGTGCAAGCCACACAAACCTCTATTGCCTTAAATCAAGTCGGTTGTGGTTTTTCTCCTATTTCTTTTTTGACGGTGGAGATAGAATCTTGTAGCTAATCTGACGGCTCGTAGCTATCCTCCAAACGGCATCGTTTTAAACCTTCCCTTCCCGTAAATTAAATTAGCATTAAATCTGACCAATCCTTATTGACCAAAAATTTTACATAATTTCTTTGAATTTCGACCTCCATAATAAACGACGTCGTTTGTGGAGTTTGTTTATAATTTAAATGAAATTCATAATTAATAATCATTATACATAAGACTTAATTAATCTACCTTTTCATGAAATTGAGTACAAGTTTTTTAGGGTTTAGTTACAAATCCATCCATTGTAATAATTATACATACGAAGATTCTGATACCATTTGTAATAATTCAAGTCCGCTGCTAGCAGATATTGTCTGCTTTTTCAAGCCCACCGCTAGTAGATATTTTATATTTTTGTTGTAATAATTTAAGTCCACCGCAAACAGATATTGTCTGTTTCGGCCCATTACGTATCTCTATTACCCTTAGAGAATGTTTCATTCCACTCTCCAATCAATATGGGATCTCACAGTTCACCCCTCTCGGGGGCCGACATCCTTGCTCACACATCATACTGTGTCTAGCTCTATACCATTTGTAGTAGCATAAACTTATCGTTAACAAATATTGTCTATCTTAGCTCGTCACGTATCGTTGTGAATCTCCCAATTTTAAAATGGATTTGGTAGAGAGAGATTTCCACATATTTATAAGAAATGTTTTGTTCTTCTCTAGAACTACGTGTGATCTCACAACTATTTTTCTACCATTTTCCTTGCACTCCGAAAAAAAACTTGTTCCAATAAAATGGAAAAAAAATATACAATTAAGGAGTAGATATTAATTATTTTTAAGAATATGATATTAACTCATTCATATATCACTTATTTATTCCGACATTACAATAATCACTTGAAAACTCACTATTTTAATTTGTTTGGAAAATATATATTTATTTTGAGCTATTAATTAAGCAAATCCTTCTTTAATATACATAAAATATGGTAATAAACTTTTTTTTAACGGTCTTAGTATTAAATTTATTTGGAATTAATGAAATATATATATATATATATATATATATAGAAAGTGTATCTCATGAGCTTAATTTCCGTAACTCCACACCACACTCATTTCCGATCTCCAAACTAACACCGAAAATGCAGCAATTATGAACAATTTTTTGAACGCTCATTGGTCATTTAAATTAACAAAAAAAAAAAAAAAAGAAGAATTAAAATTAAGGCCAAAACGACGACGGCGGCGACCATGAAATTGGTGGCCGAGAACTTGACCGGTTCTCTGTTCTACGTTGAGGTTGACGACGGCGCCACCGTTCTTGATCTGCGAACCGAGATCAGTTCCCAGCAGAGCCTCCCTTCCGACCGTCTTCTCTTTGTTCCCGACCACGACCGTGGCCGTCTCATCTCTGTCGCCGACGACGGAATCTCGCTCGTTGATTTTGGGCTCCGAGATGGGTCGCTCATTTACATCTTTTTCTGTCCACTTGATGACGATGGTGGCGATGATGTTGATGCTCGACAGCTGTTCTTTAACTGTCCTGATCTTCTTCTCTTTCAGTAGCAGCTTATGGTGTTTTGTCGAAATTTGGGTATTTGTTTCTGTACAAATTATATTTTGTTGAGTGAAGATTTGAATATTTTTTTCTCGATAATACTTATTATAATCAATCAATATGGTATTGTATATTCACTCATTAAGACCTTAGCCCACTTGTGTTTACTCTATCTTGATTCATGACGCTTTATCTTGGTTCACGACTGCGAAAAACAAAGTCTAAGTAGAAAAAAAGAGGGAAATTGGGATATAGTCAAAATCTTGACGCGCTATCTTGGTTCACGACGCGCTATCTTGGTTCACGACGCGCTATCTTGGTTCACGACGCGCTATCTTGGTTCACGACGCGCTATCTTGGTTCACGACGCGCTATCTTGGTTCACGACGCGCTATCTTGGTTCACGACGCACTATCTTGGTTCACGACCTATGTTTAGGTCTCAACAATATAATTGAGTAATGGATCGGTCGGCTCTATCTTGGTTCACGACCTATGTTTAGGTCTCAACAATATAATTGAGTAATGGATCGGTTGGCTCTATCTTGGTTTAAGTCTCAACAATATAATTGAGTAATGGATTGGTCGGCTCTAACTTGGTTCACGACCTATGTTTAGGTCTCAACAATATAATTGAGTCATGGGTCAATATTGAGTAATGGATCGGTCGGCTCTATCTTGGTTCACGACCTATGTTTAGGTCTCAACAATATAATTGAGTCATGGGTCAGCCGACTCTATCTTGATTCACTCTGTTATATCGACGCTCTATCCTCTATCTTGATTCACTATGTTCTATCGACGCTCTATCTTGATTCACGACCTATGTTTAAGTCCCATATTCATGGGTTGGTTTTCGATAAACATGCTATTTTGTTAGTTTTATGTATAGATCATTTATTTTCTTTATATAAATTGAATAGAGATGTTGAATTCTTATTTTTTTAAAGTTCAACATTTATTTGAATTAAAAAGAAAAAAAAAAAGGAAACTAAATGAATATTATATATATATAATTTTATATATATATATTTTTTTTTTTTATTTTAAGCTAGGAAATAAGAAGGGAAAATATTTATTATTTTTTATTTCTTTCTGGAAAAACTAATACTTTCCCTATTTAAAATAAACAGGGAAACACGTAAAGAAAGAAATATCCATAATAAAAAATGTAATTAAATTTCTTTTTGATATTTGAAATACAAAATAAATAAAAATTGGAAATAATCTCCATAATATTTGCCTTAAATTTGTTAATATTAAGGAAGGAAATATCTTACATTCTTAATTTATCTATAAAAAATATTAATTTATTTTTTTAACTACTTTTGGATAAAAGATTAAAGTCAGTAATCAATTCTTTATATTTATAAATAAAATTAGTACGTTATAATATTTTTTATAATTTAGATTTCATTTCATTCTTGTATTTTTAATAACTCTTTAAATTAAATTTTATTTTTAGTTTAAAATTAATGGTTGTTAAATTAGTTAAATAATAATATTATTATTTATTTTATGTAAAAAATTATTTATTAAAACTAAAACTAAATGATTTTCAAATGGGTTTAATTTCAAAAACTTGTTTTTGAAAATTATATAATTTTTTATTTTAAAAAAAATTTGCTTAATTTTTTAAAACATAGTTTTAAAAAACAGATAATAATAATAAAAAAAAAGTAATATTGTTAAGTTTATTTTTAAAAATTATAGAATAATTATTTAAAATTTTATTTTTTTAATTAAATATCACCTATCCCACTAGTAGTGGTAGGTATATTAGTACAAAATTATATATATATATATATATATATATTAATATACTCAATAATTGAAACATTTATAGCCATCAAATCCTTGTAGATTCAAATTCTTATTTTTAACATAGTTTTAAATTTTAGTGGGCAAGATGGTTTCTTATTTTCTAATTTCTATAGGTCTAAATTGATGTCACTCCTTTCCCACAACATTATTTTTTAAATATTTTTAAAATATGATAGGTAAGATGTCACATTTAAAATATAAAATATAATTGTATATAATAAGATACATTCTCTTTTTACTTTAAACCAACTAGAAATTATAATTTATTACTGTGCACGAGATAAATGAACGAGATAAATGAACGGTTGGTTCTTGAAGTTTAAACCAAATAGTAATATTTGATGATAAATAACAATCATCCCTAGTAGATATTGTCTGCTTTAACTCATTACATATCGTCATTAGTCTCACGGTTTTAAAACGCGTCTATTAGGGAGAGGTTTTCACACTCTTATAAGAAATGATTAGTTCCCCTCTTCAACTAATGTGGGATCTCATAATCTACCTCTGTTTAGGGCCCAACATCCTCGCTGGCACAGCCAACCAGTGTCTAGCTCTAGTACCATTTGTAACAACTAAAGCCTACGGCTAGTATATATTATCAAGTTTGGCCCATTATGTATTATCGTCAGTCTCATGGTTTGCGTCTATTAGAGATAAGTTTCTACACTTTTATAAGAAATGTTTCGATTTCCTCTCTAACCAATGTGAGATCTCACAGTTTAGCAGCTTCTTATGCATCCATAGGTTCGAATTCTCATCTCCTATCTCCCTCTTCATAACCTAAACACTCACAATAATAACCGAACATAAAAATTTCTTAACTAGAGACCAAAACTTTACGTTCTAACTTAAGTAAGTACGATTCTCTCCTCCTTTCTTCACCCCGCCTCCACTAAAAATGTTATTCCGACCATTGACTAGTCAACCTTCCAGTGTTTAACGTGTCAAAATCTCAATTAAAAAGTCAAAGCTATGAAGTCAACCCCTCTTCTTTTTTTTTTTTTTTTTCTCTCCAAGAAAAATATTCACATAATCAGTTAACACCTAGGAGTATAAAATGCAAAGCACTAACTGGAAATTCTAAAAATAAATTAAAAATTAAGAATGTTTTATTTAGAAAATGGAATATTTAAATTAAATGTCAACGCTTTCCCTGTGGCCGTTTTCTTAATTCAATTTCGTATTAAATAATTATCAACTTGATGACGTGCCATGCAGGATTCTTTTTTAATCCTCTAATTATTTTCCATTATTATCCAGCTGTTTATGGTAATTTCCATTTTTTTTTATCGCAAATAGACAGCTAAATGCAATTATTTAATTATTTATTAAAATTAGTAATTATTTAAATTCAATTTGATTATTATATGTTTGGATTAGTTTTTTCTGGTGGTTGGAGAGCATTATTATTTTTTTCATTAATAATTTCTTTTAAGCCATTCCGTACGAAGAGGGTTAATTTCTAATTATTTATTTTTTAATCCTATAATTTATATAAAAAATACAAAAAAAAAAATATATATATATATATGAAAGGATAACTAACAAGTATTAATGAAGGATG